TATATATATATATAAGACGGTTATAAGAATACCGGTGTAACTTTTACTATGTATTACACCGCTTTATAACTTTATATTAAATGTGAATTTTGTAAATTCAACTGTTAGATTGAAAGTTCTTTACTCTTAGATCATAAATACAAAATTTTATATTAATCTAAGATGATTTGATACTTCATTCTTATAAAACAAAATTGACATAATATATACATTTCAAAATATATTAATATATGAACATTTTGAATACCTTCAAGTTGTTGTTCAATTTTAACAAAATTTAATATAAACATATAAAATGATATGAACTTTCAAACTAACGGTTGGATTTACAAAATTCACATTTAATATGAAGTTATTGAGGGGTATAATACTTAATAAAAATTACACTAGTATTATTATAACCCTTCTTATATATATATAAAAAGAGACAAGAAGAATTCACTTACTCCAAGAGTAAGTCTTATAAACATACTTCACTCAATAATTCTTGTTTTACATCAAATTCTTAATACATAATCAAATATGCAACTTTTTTTTTTAAATTTTAAAAATCATATAATATTTCATTATATAAATTCAAATCAACGTTTAAAGTTTTTTTTATGATTATATGTTAATTTGAATTAATGAAATAAAATATTATATAGTTTTCAAAAATTTTAAAAAATTTATAAACTTTATCTATGCGTTAAGAACTTTTAATTTGATGGTTGGATCATTGAAATTTGATATAAAATGTGTGTTATTGAATAGAGGAAGCTTACCAAAACTTACTCTTAGAACAAGTGGATCCCATACATAAATGCACATACATACACATATAGACACACATACCTTCAACCATACTATCATTCATGGAAAATTGTTAGACAAGTAGCCTCATATAACTTAAGAGAGGGGGGGGGGGGGGGGGGGGAATTAAGTTTTCCAACTTTTCCTCTTATAAAATTTTTCGAATTACTTTCATATAAATTCAATTCCTTAGATAAATTTATATGTAAAGAATGAAGATACACACTACTTAAACACAATCAAATGAATGAATAAAAGAGTAAGGAGAAGGAATTGTAAACTCATTTTATATTGGTTCGGCCAATCCTGCTTACGTTCAGTCCTCAAGTCTCCAACTTGAGATTTCACTATTCTTATAAACCTTACAAGACTTGAGTCCTCCAACACCTTGGAACTTCCCTTCCTTGTGTTGAGATTCAAAACCACCTAGGAGAAAAACACTTTCTCCTTTATATATTGAATGATAGATTGAGTTTTTCATAATAACTCTCTTGAAGAGTAGATATTATAATATGAAGATCCTTAAAGAACTCTTAAGAATTTGCAAGTAATTATGGCCAAGAAGTTTTTGTCATTGTTTTTCACATTTTAGTTCGTTAACCTCTTTAAGGAAAAATCATTTATATCTATAGATAAAAAATCCCATGGTTGTATCCTTTTATGAAAAGATGTAACTATTTGAATTCTTTCTGAAAAGATAACTGTAATCGATTACAAAGGTTTGGTAATCAATTACAACGGTTATAAATTTGAAATAATTGAAATGTTGTATCTTAGTATTCAAATTTTGAAGTTCTCTCTTCTGGTAATCGATTATAAGGGCTGGTAATCAATTATCAGAACATATTGTTGCATTGTTTCAAAAACTTTTATGTAGAAAACTTCATATTAATAATTTATTTCACAAATCTCTTTTAAGAAATTATTTGAACTATTCTTTAAAGCTTTTGTTAAGTCTCTTGAAAACATTTTTACTTATTTTCAAAAGATTTAAAACTTGCTTAAATTTAAAGAGATTAATTTGAGGTTTCTGAAAACTTATTCTTAAGACCAAGCATACTTACAATTTTAAAAGATTCTTTTACATTTTTAGCTAAGTTGTCAAGACTTATCTATGTACACTTGAGATCTTGTTCTTGCATCAACTTGTTTTAGCTCAACCTTATTTCTTCTTTAATGCTTTAAAATCACTTTAGCATCATCAAAACTTTTGTGCATAATTTCTTCCACAAAAATGTACATATCTATGTAAAATAAATTTAAAAGAAATTTTTTAAAAATTATAATACTATGGGTGGAACAAGAATACTCCTTCACAAGTGCTTTTATTAAATTACTATATAAAAATGAAAAAGGTTATACATTTTATTTATTTATTAAATTAATTTTAACTTTGTATTTTGATTACATAAGAAGTTATAATTTAAAGGAGTATAAAACTATTTAATTGATTTGATCATTGTTTTTTCTTTATTTTATTTATTGTTAGATAGAATCATTAAAAATGACTTGCATCTAATTAACTTACTTGAAGATGCAAATTTAAACATAATATATTGACATTATTCAGTTAATATGATTTTAATTATAATAAAAAATTATAATCATTAATGTTTTATCTAGATTATTTTTTCTAAACATTTCCGTTAGTTTTTTTTTTTTTTTGCTTTAACATTTTTTATTTTATTTTAATATTTTTCCTATTATTTTATCATTTGGATGCAGTAAACGATGGTTCACTAAAAGTCAAGCAGAAGAATGGTGGAACCAAAATAAAGGTAGAGTACTTAGGAAATATTGTCCAACACATCAAAAATTATCAATTGGAACTTCTAATGTCACATCACTTGTTAAAGAAATTATTGAGACATATCCTCCCTAAAAATATTCTTTCAAAAGGTTTCTCTTTAGTTTGACTAAATGAATTGATATAGAAGGATTATCTATCTACCATGTGCAAAAGAAACACATTTTTTGGCGTGCTAATAAAAAATATAGTATTTTACAACTTAATATGGATATAATCATGTATTAAATGAGGATACAAATTATAAGATTAAAGAATGACAATTATATGAAGGAAAATAAATACATGATTTAAAAAAATATTAAAAAAATATCTTTTCAATCAAAATTATAATAACAACATTAAGGTTTAAAGCTTTCATGTATTCTACCACAATTTCTTACCACTAGGTCAATTCTAATAGTTCAAAATCAAAAAATCTTATATCATAAAAACTTATATAAAAATATTGTAATACATTTTATGCAAAATTCAAAAATAAATACAAACAATATGTCAAGTAATTTTTTTTAACATTTTTTTTAACATCTAAACACATCATTATTAGAAAGAACTCAAATAAGTACTTTTTCTTTAATCTTTTGAACACCTACAAACATCCTTAATATAAAGAATCAAACTAAAATTGTGATACCTTCTAACTCTCAAGTATTTATGAATAATTAATAATATTATTAAAAAAAATTGTAATAAAAAATAACAAAAAATTTATCAAGACATTTTGCAAAATGTAAAGGTTTCCGTAATTGTCCATACATCCTTACTTTAACTAGAAAATATTATAAAGCGAGAATAAATAAATAGTTGTCACTCCAAAGATTGTACAAATATTTTAAAACCAAATATAATCGAAATGTAAAATGACATATATGAATCCAAAATATATAACTAAAAATTCAGGCACTAATGTTACATCTTATTAGAGTCAAGCACCCAAAACAGAGGCTTAAGCCTTTCCACTAGCATCAACATTAAGATGATCTTCACATGTAAGTGACATTTAACCAACATACAAAATAAAAAAATAAAATAAGGAATGAGATGTATCTTACTTATGTTGTCTGTGTAAAAGAAAGGCCAATCAACAAACAAACATATCAATTACAATAAATAATATCACATTAATTGTAAATTAAGCATATCCAAGATATTAATTATGTTATGTATTGTGTCTCAAACATCTAATGCTAGTATGGATGTGACACCATCTCAAATTTAAACTCTCATATAAAGTAGCCTACGAATGCATGTATGTTAGTAAAACAACCTAATCCAAACAGTTGACATGTGCCAAATAGTTTCAACTAAGGTGATATCTACTAGTGACTCATTAGGATTAGAAAGTCATCCTAAAGTACTCCATCATTCATCATGAGCAATATGGAGATCCCAAACCAAGTAGACCCCAAGTTCCATATATGAAGATTCTTAATGTGACCTCAATAGTGTAGAATTCACCTTTAATACCTCAAAACTAAGTTTTATGCATAGGATGCATGTCTCGTACAAGTGTGTTCACATGCGATTCATAACATCTATTAACTTATAAATTCATGTCCCACGTCTCAATACTCACGTCTCATATTTCAATTGTTCTTATATCTCAATTATTCATGTAAAAGTAAGGCCAAGTTCTTGTTCTTAATTCTCAAATATCACAACTCACTCTTTAATGAACTTATGATTAACATAAAGTATATATCTCACACTTAGTACCACAAGTATAAAGTGTAATTGTTGGTCTCTATGGCTCTCACACGTAACACATATCAACTCATGCTTTGCATTAAAACTAATATTGCTCATTGTTGTCATGGTACCTATTGAAAGACTCATTATAGCTTAGTGCCTAAAAGTGTAGAAAATTAACATGAAATGATACTTAGCGAGGTAGGGCTCGCTCAACATCCATAATGCCAAAGAAATAAAGACAAGCCATGTACCTTTAGGAGTCTCGAACTTAATTTCAACTCGTAAAAACCTGTAACTGATATTAAATCCCACACAGTGGCATAATTAAAATTAAATGAAACACTCTTAAAATCAATTGTTATACAACCAATTTTTATAGCCCCTAGCTATGAGAGTATCTTCCTATTTTAGTTGTACAACAACCAATTTAGAAAGACTACTTTTAAAATCAATTATTCAAATAATTAATTTTAAAAGGACTTTTTTACATTGGGTTGTATAACAACCTATTATGCATCAGGGGTTAACACATATATGCAAACGCACACACACGTCTCCACAATAGCAAAATATTGTCATTTTGAGCCTAACCAATGGAGATAATTGTGTGTATATAAATTCATATTCATCCTTTTAATTTGTTTGAATAATGTGAGATTTTTCTTGTATCCCAACAATCCTCCCCTCAAATAAAGGACTATGGTTTACTCTCCCTTGCAATGAAAGTTATCAGTCTATGAGTATATTAAATGATGGCCTATAAAGCTCAGTCATGCTCTAAGTACGTGTACCACCACTCCATCATGTTAACTCATGATGATGGGACATGCCTCCTCACCTTGATGTTACTGGGAAGACTCTCTTACACATATGAATTCATCGTTAGGAAGACTTTTGATACAAAGAATCTTATACCCAGATTCACCTGCCAACTCCATCATACTCATTGAGTCGATCACCTAGTCAAAGGGGGGTTTCACACACATACAAACATATCTCTATAATGGTAAGATATTGTCTACTTTGGGTTTATGCCCTCATGTTTTGTTTTTGGACATCACCCAAAAGGTGTCTTTCCAATGGAGACAATTGTGTACATATGAACTCATGTCCATTCTCTTGTTTGAACAATGTGGGACTTTGCTTGCATACAACAATCCCTTTCTCAAACAGAGGACCATGGTTTACCCTCCCTTGTAGCGAAAGCTATCAGTCCACGAGTACCCGATGGTGGCCCACAAAGTTTAGTTACACTCTATGTACTTGCACCACCACTCCATCATGTTAACTCATGATAACAAGACATATCTCATAACCCTCATGTTACTAGAAATACTCTCTTCTACATATGGACCCACTATTAGGAAGACTTTCAATACAAGGGATCTTATATATCCAGATCCACTTACTAACTTCATTATACTCATTGAGTTGGTCACTTGGTCAAACCAATAATTTTGATACCACTTGTTGTGCACCAAGGGGTTTCACACACACACACATGTCTTCATATTGGTATGATATTGTCCGCTTTAGGTTTAACTTCTCACGGTTTTGCTTTTAGATATCACTCAAATGGCCTCTAACTAATGAAGACAATTACAACACAACTAAATTTAGAAAGGCAATTAAAATGGCTCCCTTCGTTCTTCACCCTTTCACTTTGTGTTTTCATTTTCGCGAAACTCTTTTTCTTTCTCGTGCTTTCTTTTCTCTCATTGTTTTACCACCGCCATCCAATCCTTGTTGTCCATGTCATCATAGTCCATGTGTCACTTGTGCTCTCCCTTGCACTCTTATTCACGCTCTCTCTTGCTTTCTCTCTCCCACTGTTGTGCCACTACCATTGTCCCTATTGGTAAGTGTTTCTCTCATTGTCGTCCTTGTTGGTCCTCTTGGTTGTATACTTGGTTGTTGTAGAAGTGATTGAATATGGTTTTGGGTTAAATTAATTGGTTGTTTGGGGTTTGGGTTTGAGTTTGGTTTTTTGGCTTTTGAAATATATACTTGTTAGGTGTTTGATATTTTTGTCCAATGAACAACATGGTGTTACTCCGTGAGAAAATTGCAGAGGGGTGGAAGAAGAAGGAGAAGAAGAAGGGAATGGTGGGATTGTCAAAGAAGATGCAAAACTTTTAAAATCGGTTATACGCTTTTAAAAGTACAATTTTAAATATTATTGATTTTAAAAGTGTACTTTTAAAATCGATTCTCCCTCAATTTAAAAAATTCAGACCTACAAAATTGATTCTTTTAAAATTTGTTGTATAAAATAACTAGTTTTAAAAGTCTTTTTTCCACTATAGTATACAACATAAGATAAAGTTTTGTTTTGTTGCAAAAATGTTTAGACAAAGTAAACTTTAATAAAGCTTTTTATCACGCATAATCCCACATAATCTTGAGTGTTATTAGTTTTGGTATGTGTAACAGTCTGGACACATCAGAATGAGAGGAATCGAAAAATTGTACGAGTATGAAATTGTGCAGTTGATGATGACTTAAAAGAATTAATTTGTATTATATCTATATATACCAATAAGATCTATCTACTTTTCAGTAACACATCCCTAAGAAGTCCATTTATAGTATGTAAATCAAATAATACAATGTAAACAAAAGTTCCTTTTCATAAAGATATATAATAACATATAAGTTATCATGTTTGTATATCCATCATTTGAGTCTCTAACAATTATTCCAATATTTACATATTCTATTTGACCTATCAACAAATATGCAAGGATACATTTTATTCTTGTTTTGAATAATAACAATGAAATTATCCAATAAAATAGTTAGGATTCTCACAAGAAGATGACATTCTTTGTTAGAAATTAATAAAAAGGATATCAAAATTTTCTAGAATATAAAATATACAACATTAAAACCAAATACAGGACGGCCAAACGTAGAAACCGTTCTCTATGTCGTAGATTTTGTCTTAAATGAACATCTTTATGATAACGAGAGAACCAAAGGAAATTACAAACAAAAAGCTCAATAATCAATTCCGATTTTGACTGTCTTTGTTAATTTCGTCGAGAATCAGAATTAGTGCCACTATGAATGCATAGTCCATGTTTGGATACACCGTAACCATGAAATTATCTTTCCCAAATGCAATGCTTTGAACAGTGTGCTTTTTATGCATCTGCAATTACATCATATTGTACTTGCAAGATTAGAGTTTGAAGCAAGGAAAAAGTAACGTTTGAGATTAATTTTCACAATTAATTAGAAATTATTTTATGTATACTATTAAGGTAATAATCATTATAAATATTAACAAACATCACTGATAACATGCACTTCTTCAATCCATTTGGTTTTAAGTTATTCTACATATATTAAGAAAAATTAATAAATAAATAAAAATAACAATTTTACAAAATTAATCTTATGATTAATTTTCTTTTCTTGATAGGATGACACAATAATGATCATTTTCTAAAGAATATTATGAGATGTATAAATGAAAAATTAATACTACATTAGAAAATTAACATAATACTTATTTTAGGATTTATTTTTTCTTCAACTAGTACAACTGTTATTATGGGATGGAGGGAGTAGTGTATTTTGATTAAATTTTTATCTAAAACTAGTCAAATAATATAGGTAAATAGTAAGTAGTTGTTCCAAATGAAGTTGAATTTGATTATATTTTAAGTAAAGTCTTAAATTTAAGTTTTATGAATAAAATATAATTAAAAAGAGAGACTTCATTAAAGAAGATTAGTCAGATCCTATGATGAAAATTAGTTATTAAAATAACACTACATACTTTGAAGTTTGAACTAATAATTAACATGTTTGAAAAATAAAAGATAACTCACCTGCGCAATAAAGTTGAGAGATTCACCAACATAAACAACACATGATCGATCGAACCAGCTTCCTTTGACCTTAAAGTCACAAACTTCTTCTTTAGTATTATTAGCTAAGAACACATCTAATTTTGTCTTTAGCTGGAAAATGGACGATCGTTTTACACTAAAAATCAAATCTTTCAACTCCATGCTTTCACCACGGAAAACTTGCCACCGATCATGAGCTGTCATCATCTACATAAACAAATTTGAATTGTTTCATAGGATTATTCCAATATGACGGACTTATCTATAAACACAATGCTAAAAAGATAATGAAAAAGAAATATTTATTCAAAGGAATAACATGAACACATCTTTCTAAATAGAAAAACTGAAATAGGAGTATTGTAATTTTAAAATTTAGATAGCCGAACAACAATTTTAATCATCTAAGTTCAAGAAAAACAACATATCCAATCCAAGAAAGTATGTAAGTTTGTTAATTCATATTCTTCAAAATTACCTATTAAAAAAGAATCAAAGTACAACGTAATTAAGTCTTAAGTATTATCAAGATATTGATTCAAGTGAAACTAAATTCAATCCTCTTAAGTAAAATGTTTTGAGTTCAAATTTTACAAATACAAAATACATAATTGAAAGAGGAGATCTAACAAAAAGTGATGGATTAGTTTTTTGAATAGATATTTCACATTAACATGATTAAAAAAATTATAAATAATAAAATACATTAAGATATATGATCAAACCTTCCGGCGAAGGGTGAGGACAGGTTCTCCGGCGGCATCAAGTAAGACACGGTGATCATGGAGGGTCATGAGAGAGGCCTTAAGGTTGAAAACCATTTTGCCATTGACATCGGTGACGGTAAAGCTATCAGCTAACGTCAGGACCTTTCTCACAATTGCTAGGTCGACATTATATGGAGCACAATACTTAGGGTTGACGATACCTTGGTTTTGCATCACTGCAACTTTAAGTTTTCTGAGTAATTGATGGATGTGGATATTATTGACCTTTCTAATTTCTTCCGAAAGTTTTGTGTACTGTGGCTTGTGGGTATGTATTCTTTGATTGATTGAATGATATATACTTGAAATATTGTTATATATAAGTGTGTGACATGAGATATATATATGAAGTGGTCAATGATCAAAGTTTGAAAAAAAATTTGAAAGTGGACAGACAATGTTAAAGTAAAGCCGTGGAGGTAGAGGAATGCCATAGAAGAAGACTTTTTTTTTTTTTTTTTTGTTATTAAGAAGACGACTAATTCTAGTTTCTTTCTTTTTTAATTAGATTATATTTTTTTTTCTTTGAAATACTCTTGTTTGAAACGAGTAAGATTGCAATATTTTAAATATATATATATTTAATAGAGTTAGATACTCAGAATTAGAATTCAAAATTACTTATTACACTTGAACTCACCCAAGACTGGTATGAAGACCAGTTCAAGTTTAAAGTTGAAACTCTTTTTTGAATATATATTTGAACAAATCCAAAGGAGCAGCGTGGAGACGTTTGTTAACTAGTCTTTATTATTATATGTTAATTGGACTAATTCTGTTATACAATACGGAGTATTGATCCGTAGGTGGACGTTAAATATATTAATTATTCTTTTTGAAGGTTCATGAAGACATTCAAGTTATTGCAAATGATATGAAGAGATTTGTCAACAAAATGTATGTACTTTGCTGACGCTAAAGCTGTGTTCAAGGTTATGCTCTAAAAAATTATAATTAAATAAGTAGGATAATTACAACGATTTTTTTTTTCTAACAATGGCAAACTTTTACACTTGAATCCCCCTTGATTCAATAACTCTCAAAGTTATAAAAGTTCAGAAGAGTAAGTTTGATACATGAAATTAATGTTGTATGTAGTTTAAAAAAATATATAAAACAAATTAAAAAGAATTATAATAGAGAAAGAAGTCGCCAATTTGAGTGCCACTACAACTCCAAACCTTTCACTATTTCCAACAATTTTGCACTAAGTGGATTATTATTACTCGTCGAGCTTGTTAAACTCACTACAAGAAAAACGTAAATTTTTTACGGACATAATTCGTCGGTAAAAAGGAATATTTGTCGGAAAATTTTCAATTTTCAATAGATGCAAATCCATCGAAAAAAAGGGCGTAAAAAAAAACCGTTAGAAATTCTCGACAGATATACCCATCAGTAATTGTTTGAAAATCATTATATGATTCCGACCGATAAATCCATCAAATTTTTTTTTTAATTTTAATAAATTTATTAATACACGCCACTTTTCAGTCTGTTTTGTCTCTATTTGCACAATTTCTAAGAAACTTATCAGAAAGTCACTCATCCCTGTATTACTTCAAGTCAAGGGCAGAGATGAGCCACTAAAACCTTAGAGATTGTAACATCCCGAATTTTCTACTAGTATAATAGGTTAATTATTGTTTATTTTTATATTTATGGAGGTTATTTTCTTATAGATATTTTAATGGATTTTATAGAATGTTTTAAAGGATTTTTAATAATTATTAGTATTTTAATAATGAATATTTATGAAAATTATTGTTGTAATATTTTAATTTTTAGTAATCCAGAACGGGCCGTTCCAAACTACGAAAATGGCCTATAAAAGACTATGTGGGAATGTATGTTGGGTAGTGTGATTGGCCTTCGATCCTATGTTTGTTGTATGCTTATGTATGAGGGGGTTTTCTCAATTGTATCTGTCTCATTTATTGTTCCTCTTGTATGTAATTAATTGTATGATTTGAGATTTTTGTGAGTTCCTACGGGAAACCTTATGAGAAATAGACAAATTTTGCATGTTATCTAAATATAAATGTATAATTTTGAGATCTCTATGGATTCCTATGGGAAACCCTAAGGAAATTTGTAATTTTAACAGGCAAAATGTGAATGTTTTCTGTTTCGCTCTCTGATTTCTCTATCGTGTTCCTTGTTGAATGAGATGAATGAATATGTGTTTAATTTTGAAAATAAACAAGTTTTGATATGAATTAGAGTGCTTTGTGGGTTCCTGTGAAAACCCTATGAGAAACAGACAAATTTTAAATATTTTCTATTTTATTCCCTGAGTTTTCTGTTGTTTTCCTTAATGTTTATGGAGTGTAAATATGTGTTTAATTTTGAAAATAGACAAGTTTTAATATGGATTAAAGTGCTTTGTGAAAATTGTGAGTGACATGTGATAATGTGATATGGTAATGAAATATGATGATGAAACGTGATGATGAAATGTGATATGATAATGAGACATGATAATATGATATGAGAAAAGCATCGCGTCTTGATTGACATGCATCATGTGCATAAATGTTTTTAAGGGTACGATATGGAATACACCACCAGAGAAGGCCCCCAAGTGTAAAAGCTTTGGGGATTAGTCCTTGGGGATAGCTCAGTTTGTAAGTCTCAGTCTCGCCCATTGTGTGCATGGGATATATCTTGCGCGGCTTAGCTATCCCGACGAGACTCTAGTAGTATGTCCTTCTAGTGAGAGTGCGCAGAGGGTGTGACTCGACATGTACTCCTAGACTACTCTTCATGTATTACTAGCGGCAATATGCCATGTGATATGTTATTGGCGCCACATGCATGATAAAATGTAGTCTGTGTCCATACATGTGCATTTTAATGTTATATGAAGAATTGATATGTCTTGGATGAGTGAGATGTGATGTTATTATTAATTTATCTATGTTATATCTGTTTTGTTTGCGTTTGGTTGTCCGGCTTATATTTCTACACTGTGAGCCAGAGTGAGATGTTTCTCACTCTCTTTTCTCGTGTTATTTTTCTTTGACTGTTATACAGGTAATCATCAACGTGAGGCTAAGGATGTTCGTGATGAAGTTTAGGCTTCTATGTTGGGCTTTGCTCTGATAGGACATGTGACATCGAGGCATAGATAGGATTAGTTTAAGATGTTCTTATTAAATTATTTTGGAAAACTCAGTTTTATTTCTTTGTAATTTTACCGGCATGTTATTTGGATTAAGTTTATGAATGTGAGCTCTTTACCCTTACGTGGTTGAAAATTTGATTTTTAATGATGAAAAATTTTATTCTTTTTTATAATTATTGTATATGTATGTTGGGGTAGAGGGTGCCACATTACATAAGCTTATAGGCTAAAAATTCTTTAATGAATCAGGACTATCGACCTTTGGAATAAGCCACTATAAGAAAAATGCAAATTACCAACAGATACAAATCCGTTGAAACATTTATATCTTTGACGGAAAAAAAATTCGTAGGAAAAGTTATATTATCGACAGATAATTTCCGACGGTTAAAAATCTGTTGAAAAATTTATATTTCTAACGGATAACTTTTTACGGATATAAATTCATTGGAAAATTTATATTTTTGACAGATATATCCATCGGTAATTTTTTATGGATATATCCGTCGGTAATTTCTGACGAATTTATCTGTCGGTAATTTCTGACAGATATAAATCTTTCGAAAAATTTATATTTCCGATGAAAAAAAATTCATAGGAAAAGTTATATTATTGATGGAATATTTTCGACAAATTTATATTTGTCAAAAATGTAAGAATTTTTGATGAAAATTGACAATCATATATTAAAAAAGATCATCAATAAAATTTTAAATATTTATCTATCTATATATATATATATATATATATATAGAGAGAGAGAGAGAGAGAGAGAGATAAAGAGAGAGAAAGAGAGGAGGAGGCGGAGGAATCAAATGATTCACAAAGTAACTCTTAGTAAAGTTACTCCGCTCAATAACTCATGGTGTATGTTGAATTTCACATCAATCCAATTATTAAATTAAAAGTTATTAAATTTTACTAATAATTAATATAGAAAAAATTGATTAGCATTGGAATAAATTATTTGTAAACAATATAGTTGAAAAATTACATATTTTAAATTATTTAACTAGAATCTTATTGACAATTTATTATATGCTCTTGATATTTTTGTATAACTAATATCTGGTTTTAAATTTGATATGAAAATATTATGATATAATTAGATAAGATTTTAAATTAGTATTTTATTAATGGTTGATAATTAGAAATTAAAACAAGGATAAATATATCTTTTGAATTTTATATCTTAGATTTAAGATGAATAAATGTATTAAGTTAATTAATAATTTATTTAAAATGTTAAAATTTAATTTATAAAAATAATATTTTAAAAGAGAAGGGTTATAATAACACCGGTGTAACTTTTACTAAGTATTACATCGCTCAATAACTTTATATTAAATGTGAATTTTATAAATTCAACCGTTAGATTGAAAGTTTTTTACTCTTAGATCATATATACAAAATTTTATATGAATTCAAGATGATTTGATACTTCATTCTTGTAAAATAAAATTGACGTAACATATACATTTCAAAATATATTAAAATATGAGCACTTTGATTACCTTCAAGTTGTTGTTCAATTTTAACAAAACTTGATATAAACATATAAAGTGATATGAACTTTCAATTTAACGGTTGGATTTACAAAATTCACATTTAATATAAAGTTATTGAACAATGTAATACTTAGTAAAAGTTATACCAGTGTTATTATAACCCTTCTCATTTTAAAATATAAAAATTATTATTTAAACTTTTAAATTTATAATAGATAATTTAAATTGTATCATAATATTAATTTTAAATAGAAATAAGTAGATTGTTAATTATAAAAGTAAGTATATATATAAATAAAGATTAATTAAATATAATATAATAATTATTATTGGTAATATAATTATTATATATATTATTATATTTTTATAATGGTTCGGATATATCAAAATGAGAGGGATCCAAAGATAGTATAAGTATGAGATTGTATAGTTGAGGATGAGTTAAATGAATTAATTTGTACTACCTATACTGATGACATGCATCTGTTATTCGGTAGTTATCTCATCAGAACTCCTATAGTTAAGCGTGCTTGACTTGGAGTAATATAGGGATAAGTGACCTTTTGGGAAGTTTCCCAGAAATTGTGCAGTAAGAGCAAAACACGCTAAAAAGTGAAGTGTCGTGAAATAGAATCCTTGAGAGACCAAATATGAGG